CAAGAAACTTCAAGTAAGTTCAAGCGCTAAATTACCGTCATATATACTCACAGCAACAGCAAGCAAAATTGAATTATATAATTCGTTTGTAAGTAGGCTTTCGAGACTACCAGTAAATCAGATATACGATTCATATTAACTTAATTTCACTTAAGGTGATAAAGGATTGATAGTTGAATTTTCTCACTTTGAAATGAGTATGCCTTACGTTTCCATTCAATTTTACATATCCTTGATTCACGAAAGTAATTCTCATCCAGGATGGACTGCAGTTCGATTCCCACTGGGGATGCTGATGAGACTTGGGCGAGGTCGAAATGCAGTCCTTCCTTGATGAGGATACCCTTCGGGTATCAAGACTATGCAAAATTAAATGAAAACGTAAGGCCTTCTCATATCATTGTGGAGAAATCCAACTACCAGTCCTTCATCACCCTAAACTAAATGAGGTAAATATATCTATTATATCAAATGTACTGGTAATCTATAAAAAGTGACTTGTGAAACGAGAAACAATGTAGTAAGTGTGATGTATGGAAGGTAGGAGTAATTATTGAAAAATTTTGTCCCCCTGATCGTTTAAGGGGATTAAAATAATGAAAATATAATTTTTTCAAAATAACCTGAGTAGGTCTCTCAATAGCATTGAATTTAACTTGATCTTGTATCAGAATACGTTTGCTATATCCAGGAACTTCGACAGAACTTCGTTGCCGGATCCTGGGAATTAAGGCGATATATTAGCACTTAACTACAGAGGCACAGGCTCCGATGGTTCACATATCTGATGTAGCTTTTAAGACAAACCAAGCCCCTCCCAAATCACACTTATAGTGAGATTGTTGGCAATAAAAGCATATATTTATCATTAAATCGACGGCGTAGCCTAGCTTTTAGGTGTGTATCCTTGGAAACAAATAAGAGAACTGAATTATGAGCTTGAGTGAAATTAAGTGGTATCACAAAGGCTATTCGTAGCATCATGGGGAAAACTTTACTATCATTCCTTGAAGTGACCTATAGAAATTGAATTCTTAGTTAAAAATAAAGAATTTTTTGTGCATATTCAGTCAGGGCATGAGTAACGTCATCATTACTTGCAACTACACTACCAGATTTAGAATATCGTTGGGAGTACGAATGAGAGAATGAGGCGAGGTTTAAACTACAGACCAGGCCGGATAAGAATTATTTTGGAAAGCAAGTCTAATTTGAATACAATGACATATTAAGGCCTTGTAAGAAAAATCCATTTTCAGCCTCTAACTCACTTTAAGCCATCTGGGATGAGTAAGTTCTTACTAACAAATGTCCTATTATTGTCAAAATGGAATAAGCTTTCAAGCTTGTTGTTGGGCTGGCATTACTAAATGGTCCTGAAATCGGAGGCCTGGACAAGCGTGTTCTTCCAGCAAGCTTTGAAGCGTGCCCGCATAGAATCTATCAAGCAGTACAGTACATTTACTATGAAAATGTACAATCAAGAGACTCGTAGGTTGATCTCATTGGAAGAAGACAACCGATTCTCGTGGTTCAGTAGCCGTTTGACTTAAATATGACGTCCATGTTGACGTAATCCATGAAACATTCTCCCTCGTTTCTCGTGAAACTGGGCTGGGATTTCGTCAATCCCATAACGGACATCCTCAGAGCTGAAACTCATTTTTGCAAAAGTTTCAAGTTTTCATTAGACCAAGGGGGTTAGCCGGCTTAATCCTACATGTATTATATAATCATAGCTAAAGCAAAATGGAATAATTTGGTCAACTGTGGCACTTATCTTTGTGTGTGTGTAAATCAGAGTCAAAAATACAGGACATAGCTCAGAGTAATTACAACGGAACCTAACGCAAGTTTCGGGCCGTTGTGTGAATTTTATTCCTGCATGCGGAACCACGCTTATGAGCGATGAACTTTCATGGAAAGCAGCATGGTTGGCTTGTAGAAATAACAGACATGGAATTACTCCAAACTTTTGTTAGAACTCTTACTTGAGTGGGGATGGGTTAAAAGGGATGGTGTTGATGCTCACTAGCTAGTACTATTTTTTCCTCAAAAGATGACTACTAGCAAGGAAGGATGGTAGTTTCATCTTTGCTGGGTTATGAAACTGAACATTGAGAGCTCGAAAGCGATCGCTCTTTACATGACGTCTTTAAGTTACTGGTCCAGGCCTCCGTCGTTTCAGCCTCAACCCCGGGGCTCGAACTACAGTATAGGCGTAAAGAAGGTAGATTTTATCCCTGCAATAAATCATTTGTTATGGTACACGAATCAGAGTTAAATTCATCATACCAACCATACCCTCTTCGATTTTTTAAGGTTTATATTAGTCTTTAAGCGTATTACTTAGTCACTTTGTCGACCCCAAGTCCCAACCACTGCATGCTTCACTAAAACTAATTATCTAAATGAGCATTCCCGAAAAATCATAGTATTTTTCATCCCACATAACACGTTTAGGCTTCCCATAGATATATGACGGATCCAATATCAGAGCGCAAATGGAAGGGTATCAGGAAAAAGGGGGAGAGCAAGATGGAGAGGAAGCAGGTACATGGAAAAAAGGAGGAGAATGGGAAAAGTGAAAATCTTGACTAATTACTCTCTTTGCAGTTCAGCCGGCCGTACAATTCGTAGCCAGGGTTGCATTCACAATGGTACGAGCCGATTGCATTCACGCATTTGTGCTGGCATCCTCCATTATGTTCAACGCACTCGTCACGATCCGTGAAAAAGACTGCTCGGAAACCCTTGCGCTGGACACTGCCGTCCGAATAAAACTCGATCGTCAACTCGTTTGTATGTGAGGTGATGGGAGCTGGAGGCACATCGCCGCAGTAGCTGCCCACCTTCTTTTGGGCTTCCGGAGGTCCGCTGTAGACGTTGACGAAGTCGTACACGCACGTCTTCTGTTCCTCAGATAATTAATTGGAAATGTTATGCATTGGAGTGAGTGTGTGTGTACATGTATGCGTGTTAATGTAGTCGCATAGGAATAGAAACATTAAACTAGAATGTTAATAATTCCATTTAACGTTCAGGTATGTCTTACAGCATCCAACTCTGGGAAAAATCACGGCATTAATAGCGGTGATCAACTAGTCGAAGAAGGATATTTCCATTCCACAAACTCTAGTACAACGTCACTGACTCTTTGATCCAAAAAGACGGATTACATGCGGCAGGATGAATAAAGTAGCAAGTATTTTATTACAGAAGAGAGCAAATTTTCATCCAAGTAACCCTTTTATAGGGCATTAGGATATGGAGACGACGATATCTTTTACTCTCATGACCTCTCTACATGGGGCAAGCATGGTAGCTGGGTCTAAAAGCACTCACTTTCGTGCCTGATATGAAGCAGTGCGTTTTATGCGTATTCACCATGTAATCACCGGACCCGTAATGCCAATTTTTTTAATGTTGTTTGAGATCTAAACATTTTCTGAACTATTGAGAAGATCCATCAACTATCATACTTCACCTCACTTTAGGTGACCTAAAGTTATTGGAGTTCTTATTCGAGCTTTTATGATACTTTAAAAGCATTCTAGTTCCTGTCAAATAGGAATGGAAGGAGACTAGGATAATCTTGAATGTCACAACTGCCCTTTGATTCACTGGCTGTCGTGGTTATATTGTATAGTTTTAAGTGAGTTACCTGATGCCAAAGACCCTGGTTTGAATCATTTCAAGCTGTTAATGAGCTCCAGGCGAGGTCTTATTCGGAGTCAAACTGGTCTTAAAAAGAATTTTGCCAGCAATCTCAAGTAAAAATCACTGGCAATGGGAGACATTCTGTCCATTTCATTATCGGAATTTAAATATTACTTCGAAGATGTGAAGACCAAGATGTTGTGGCATGAAGTTTTCAGATAATCATTTACAAATGTTTCTTCTGCCCAGATTCCGGCTCAATTGGGGCCACTTTCGAGAGGTATGAGCAGTAGGCTTGGTTTCTTCTATGAAAAATAGCTTTACCTGAGATGATATCTAGCAGAGATGGAAATATTTCCCTTCTTATTTAAGAGGAACTCTGACTATGAGAGACTAGTTTAGCATAATTTGGTGTAAAAAAGAAATCCCATAATCGCATTATGGGAATCTTGCTATGATTTTAGAGTGTGCTTTAAGAACTTACGGGGAAAATCTGATAAAGGAGGTCGCCAATAACCTTTTACAAATGACCTGAAGCTTCGACGTCCGTCTACATCCAAAGGCTAGTGATGTAGTCTGCTTAAGCTAGGTCCAATTGGATGCAATGCCATTTGTCCCCATGCAGTGCAAATTCAGGAATCGAAATATTCGAGGTAATAGCTTGATCTGTGATCCGCAATTTCTGGCAGTACTTCAAGCTGCTTATGCGTTTGAGACAGCCAGAAAGGATAGTCAAGTCACGAAATTCACTAGATCCAGCTTCCAGCTGGATCAAAGAGGTTTGAGGGCGGTTGTACTTTACAGCAAGACTTTTCACAGAGACAGTGTCTACGAAAAAGCAGAATCAACAGTATATGATACAGTATCTCTTTCAGAGACGTGAAAAAGGGATGACATTTATTTTCAGTTAAGAGCGCTTTGAGCGCTTTTTTCACACTTATCCACGCTATTATAACAGTCAACTAGCATGAAACTTACACTATAGCCTTCCAGCATGAAGGATGAGAATTCCAAAAAGATCTTTGTTTTAGCTGGCGCTATGATCTTCCAGATGCAGTTTTTATCCGGTGGATACTCATTGGGAAACGAGGGCGATTGGATTGTTCCATTTACCTCGTTAATCACACCTCCACAGGCGTCTGAAAGGGATTTAACGAGAGGGAACGGGATAATTGGGAGACATAGTTAGGCAAGATAAAAAAATGGCAACTAACTTAGTTGATAAAAATGTCTTATTCTCACAGCTTCTTGCCCTTTGAGTACCCATCTGCTGATTTTCTGCAACGGTGTGTTGCTGAGAGTTGAAAACATTTGTATTCTCGCAAACAAGTCCGGTTGATGTCGTAACCCATTACTTTGAGGGACATTTGAGTCTGCAGGTAAAGTTCACCTAACGACAGCTAATGAGTCGGGGTTTCAGACAGGTTAGGCGACACTCTCGGCGATCGATTGCCCAACCAGCTGAGCTATCCAAACTGGATGATTCGGAGTGATTGTAAACAAGCTGTTATAACTTCTTGTCATGACAACATGCCGCCTTTACTCATCCCTCCTCGTAGCTCACGTCAAATTGAGCCTCAAAATCAGATTCTCCCAAACATGCTTAGCATTTTCAGACCAAGGCCGATTACGTTTCCTCTGTTTATCCACTCTTACATGCTGACACGGTTTGATACAGTGTTGGTGTGTCGGACAGCGATTATTCCTACATCACATGCAAGCCAGAAATTGGTCTGGTTAATTTAACCTTCCCTCACACTCAGCACATGTTTTATTGCACCAAGTTAAACAGAGATTAGGCATACTTAGCTGTGGAAGCATATGAGTAGAAGAGGGAGACAAGTAGGGATTTTGACAAAAACAATGAATTCTTTTGACACAGTAATAAGACTCGTACAATTAGCAATATCGGAAAATAGATACCATGTTGGTACAGGCAGATATTGTATGTGAATAGATACAACACTTTTGACTTCTAATACCGCTAATTCGCCAAGCCGGACTGATGCTACCGACAAAATTCAGGGATGACTAGATAGACCACTCGTTTGAGCGCATCAGCCAATATTGTCCACAACCCCACAATTACTGCAAGAAGAAATACTGTCTTCTTCATAAACCATTTTTAATTAGCTCTTCACTGACTCGGGATGATTCGCAAATTAGGCAGTAGCGGAACCGATGACACCCATTTATTAGATCAGAAATAAGCGTGACAAAGATAAGGGAAAGGGGTGGTACAAGTCCTGAGGCCTAAGAAGCATCGTAGAAAAAAGGGACCTAACGAACCACAGGAGATTCTGGCTGAACAGTAGATAAGCATAAGCCTATTTTATTCACTTGTTTTTTTTCGCTTAAGACACGAAATCTTATCAGTTAATGATGACACCTCAATTCCATGCATGCATATCATATGGAGTTGACGAGATGTCCGTACAAAAGTTCGATGGCATCAAACAAAAAAGCTGATGAGTCCAAAACATAGAGAATGGAAAAGTAAAAATGAGTAATCCTGAGGAAGAGTTTATGTAGGGATAAAAAATAGAAACTTATACGTCATAAGGAATGCAGGAAACGAGGATGGCTGATTTCGGGGCATAAACCGAATTAAAGCGAAACTAGGCGGAATAGAGTTAACCCAATGTATCGAAGCGAACTTAAGTAGATGAACAAACTAACCGAATATTAAATGAGAACACAGTCATTCAAAATCGCTTAAGGCAACTTAATGACTAACGGTGGAATCTTCACACAATTATATGATCAGTTATATGAAATGTATTCACCCTATTTCGCTTAAGGCGATAAAAACCGGTAGTTGAATTTTCCCACAATGATATGAGTAGAGCTGACGTTTCCATTGAATTTAAAGAAGCCTCGCTTTTCCAACACTCCCGACGGGATCTAGTAGCAATGTGGCGTAATGATTAACGTTTCGAGATTACACACTACACTATCATGGTTCGAGTTTCACTGTAGGCGAGATTGACACTGCAGTACACTCTGGAAGAGAGCACGTCGTGGGAAAGCAAGGCTATGCGAAATTAAATGGAAACGTCAGCTCTACTCATAGCATTGTAGGAAAATTCATCACCTTAAGCGAAATTGGGTGAATAAATCTCATATAGCTGAAAATGTTTCTCTGAGTAAAGATGTAGTAGAAACTTCAGGAGAAATACTGAGATATAAAATAGAGATACTGGTGGTGAAACTTATTCATATAAGTTGAGGCAATATGATAATGAATTATAGCAAAATAAAGGTGCGCCTAAGCTCTGGCTGGGAAAAGTAAAGGTAACTCTGACAAAGGTTGCCTGAAAGTATACCCGATAGAATTATTATGCTTAAAAATGAGAGTAATTTTAGTTTACCTTCCCTTTTATTTCTTTAGATATTAGGCACAATTTTGGCACCTTTTGTATAGAATATGCAATCTTCTTCTAATCTTAACGAGATTTTCAAGTCGAAAATATACGTCTAGGTTATAGATGCCGTTTTTTAAAAGGATACGGCATTTTTATTTACATCATATAATCTTTTTCAACGAAGGATCATCATCCTAATTTCTACGTCAGTAATATTTAGCTGGGAAGATTCCGAATCTGAAAATCCAGTAAAGTCATGGCTGATTAAAAAATAGCCATCCTTGTCTTTTGTGGAACAGTAGTTTGATATTATGCATATCGGAAACTATTAATTTTCATGAATGTAGAAATAAAATCTGCTAAAAAATACAGGCTGTAATCTATCTATGGCGGATTTTTATTTGAGAGGACACAAAGGGGTTGCTTGAATTGCATAAGTAGGCTAAAGTAATCACTTGGAATCGGATACTTTTCACTTTACCAACCTATAATTAAGTGGTGCCGTAACTGAATTCAAAGAATGCCATACAAGCTGAATATCTGTGTATATCCACATTTAGTGACACAGCGGTATAATGATACAATTTACTAGGATTTGTTGTCTTACTAATCAGCCAATGAAAAAATACTATCGGTTTCACTCATCTGTTGCATAAAATACTAATATAACTCTTTACTCCACCTCACCATGAAGATGCATACGTATAGAAAAAGATATTAGCGACTAATATCTTTATGAATTGGGATAGAGAGGTTGATATAATATCCTATAATTATATGGCAATATCGGTATGTTATGATATAATTAATATGATTCGGAATGTCTCTGTCATCAAAATAAGACTTCCCTACGCCATTTGTCCAGCAAATTTAATAATGAAGTTGTATCCCTTGCTAAATCACTTATATAGCTGATGACATTTCGGAATAGATCTAGAGTATCGGAATGTCTACGCATGCATGCCATAAGTTCATAGGGCCATCTTATGCATCCTCTTGGAATTGGCTTACTATATAATTACGCGATTATAAAATCACACCATAATATCTGCATAGTATCAATTCATCGCCAACAATTTATTCAACCATATTGTTCTTCATTATGTGCATATAGAATGCATGCAATACATATATCTTGAAAATGGTATTCTGTTGCATTACGATCTTCAAAGTACTACATTAATGTTACACTAGACGATGAAGCTAACGTCTACAAAAAATCCATGTAAATTTCCTCTGTAATATGTGAATTAAGGGTGACAATAATTGGGGTACTCTTGGATCTCTCAAGGTGGCTTAATGCATGTTACTTGAGTTTTGCACAATGATATGAGTAGAAGGCCTTGCTAAGCTTCTGTTTTATACATATCGTTTATTAAGCTTTTCAGCTATCTGAAGATGAAAGACAACATTATGCTTGCATTCCCTGTGCGCGGAGGCCAAGAGTAGAGATTGTCTGAGAGCAAATAATAGGTTGGAAAATTGTTAGACTGTGCAGAGCGCAGTCGAAACATTAGATTCTATTGTTCAATAAAATGTCCAGTCCTCATTAATTATTCACTCTATTAAATAAACGGGTTGATAGTGTGGCATTCAGAAGTCAGGCGATGTATTTATTTTTATAACACTTGACTGACAAGCCTCCGGTCGTCATGCTAATGATATTCTGATAGCTTGTAACCAAGACATCATTTATCAAAAGTTAGGTCGATTGACATTCTTGCCCTCAAAGGCATCAGCATTGGTGATTTCGTTCAGAACAATCAATTCATTTGGTCGTCATTATGTTTCCATACGGTAGAATGAAAGAATATATCTATGGAATAATATCTACATTATGTTGGTCTTGCGTCAATAACCTTTAAGCTTGATTTGCTTTATTCGAAGTGAGAAATAGTGCTCACAAGACTCATTTAATAATGAGTTAATTCTCTTTAAAGAGTTAAGTGCTTAATCTAAATTGTTCATTAAACCATAAAGAGTGCTCAGAAGGGGCGACGTCTTCTCTATAGGGATGTTCGAAAGGGACGCCTCACAGACCAAGTGAGTGAGCGAAGCCAGAATCACTTGCCACTAATAATTCATCGGCAAAACTACCTAAAAAATACCAGGATCTCTAAATCCCTCTGACGAAGATCATTCTCCAATCCTTATTCAACTCTAGTACGTCTTCGAATACAGTTACATCAAGTCTAGCAAGAAAAGGCCTGAACTATGTGCTCAGAAGTATATCTCAAATTGACTGCGTAACAAGCGGACAAAACAGAACAAATTTTGGTCTTTAAACATATCAAACTGGCAGAACAAATATAGCAGAATAGTGTAAGGGCCGAGACATCTTCTGTCTATTCTTCTTCTCGAATGAGGGGCTATAGGCATTTATGGCATGCATATTCTTGACTCAATATGGTCATGGGGATGATGAAATTGTTTGAAAGCAGATTTGAATTTGCTTATTTAA